AGGCACAATTTTGCATAAAATCCATTAAGTAATCTCTGTGTCAAGTTCTTAACAATATTCAAAGCGGAGCAGCGTGCAACTTACCATTACATCAGTCCTTCAATCAGACCTAATTTGATCCAAATTGGAAATAAAATGGATGTTTATTAAATAAACCAGCTTTAAGCATCATCTAATTGTTGTTTGTAACTCTTTTTAAATATAGTGCAAACCTTTAGCCTCCTAGTAGACATACATGTTTTATAAATGGGAAAATCCTCTTTTCTTTAGAAAAGTTGAGCTCTGACCTTGAAGTCAAGGTCCCTGAGATTTAAACCTTACAGATTTTCAGTAAATGCAACCATGGTATCGATTTAAAAATTCTACATTGTCTCGTTCTTGAGTTATTGCATTCAGAAACTTGGGTGTCCACAGCACCCCGCCATATAACAGACTCAAAAGATTATGAGGTAGGGTTTTTTTGGTTTGTTTGTTTTCATAAAGACTACAACACAAAAATAACACAATTGGGAATATTATTGTCATTTTTTAAAACACTATTTTAATGTTATCTAATGTAGTGCAAAAAATAAATAACTAAATTGATAACTGGCACTGAGTCTTCTGTGTGCACACAGTCTGCATCAACACACAGGGGAACACTGAGACTTCAGAAGATTTTCACTGTGTTTGTCTATTCAGCCACAACTTTCAGATTTTTCACATAACAAGCAGCATGGATTTTGTCCTCATCATTTCAGCTAGAAGTACTTTATAAGGTGGTCTTTCAAGTGAACATTGAACAGGGTTTGTACAGGTGCTTGAAATCCTTGAAAATGCTCGTTCAGGATTTAGACATTTTTATATAATCCCCCCATTTTCAAAGGCTCAAATTGAATTGAACAAGCAAGTTTTATTGTTAATAATTGACTGTTTGGAGTGTAGAACTCATAGATATCAAATGTTGTTTCCTCCCTTGCGAGGCCTTTACTGTATCTGCCTTCAGTTCTGGTTGCTTTTGCACTGTGAAGCTCTATCTGGTCAGCTTATGACTCCTCAAGTCATAAGCTGTCCCCACCCTAACTGACAGACTGAATTGTCGTGAAGCCTCTCTGTTTCCATTCATGAAGATGTCTCTTGATTGTAGTCTATCACAATGACATGGCAGTCTCCTCAAGATATGTTCATACCTTGAGTATTGAAGGGCCTGACTGCATGTGGTTTTGTGTTGTGCAGAAGCTTCAGCTAATGAAGGAGCATTTTGCCCTACAGTAATGTATTTTATGATCATTTACCTTTTACAACTAAATAATTGAACAGCAAAGTTGGGCTCTAATACTTCCCACAAGTGCAGTAACCACAACAAAACTAGTAACAACCACCAGAGAAAATAGAAACTTAAAAACATAACAGATCAAAGAATAACAACTTGATCTCTTTTCAGTGATGCCTTTCTGGAAAAGTATTTGTCAAAGAACAATGAGCACTAGATTTCCACTAGATGGTGTTATAGTAAAACACAAGCATAACCCTCATTTAGACAATTTAACCTGATACACAGTTTGTGACCATGTATTTACTCTTCTGGCACTTTGCTTTCACAATTTTGTATTTTTTTCACTACCTTTTGGCATGATCACCTTTTAATTTGTTTCTCACATTTGTGACAAAGAGACTGCACTGGAGGCAAACAAGACTGTGTAAATACATTCAGCAAGTTGGATTAGTTTCCAGTTTCTGCTGAAGACAAGCAAAAACCAGTCACTTCAGAAAGATGTTCAGAATAAAATCTGTAAAACTGCCAAAGAGCAGCACGTGAAGGTAACCGACATGAAGATAACAGGGTAACAAATGCAAGTGAATATGAGCATCTTTTTATTTCGCAGCCTTCCGTAAAGATGCTGAAACACAGTTTATTGCTGTTTATCATGAGCGCACGGGTCAGAGATAAGATCCCTCCAGGCTAAACCCTTTAAATCTAAATACAAGCCCAAACCGATTGTCATATTTGCATGCCAAACACTGAGTAGCGCA